ATTCCTTACTAGCTGCTTGCTTTAAATATATCACAGACCTTATACCTCCCTCTTCCAGCCTGCAGGTCAGCCGACTAAGATCTACATTAACCTGCCCAACAAGTAGCCTCAGGTCTGGCACTATGTGATGTGAAGACAAGGCAAGACTGTTGCTCAGGATAAATGTTGTGTTAGAGGTTGGGTTTGTGTGTGGGCACAACAGGTGCCCTTTAGCCTGTTTGCAACTGCCTGATAGCCTCATCACCCTGAAGGCAGCTGTATATATAGCAATACATCAGCAATGGGCTGCTTCACTCCACGCGGGATAATAGCAAGTCGACTATATAAATGCATGACCTTTCCAAATGAGACATGTGCTGGAAGAAAAACAAATATGCCCAGTATTTTTTCATAACGCACTGAAGACATTAAACATTAGCAGACTGTTCTCTTAGTGCAATGATTCAAGAGCAAAAGGCAGTTAAACTAAGACAGTAAAAGCTGCCTGACAAGTATCCCAACCCAGGGCATGACAAAGGGACTGTGGAGGACAGGACAGATTCTACTTAAGGGACCAGAGAGTGGGGAACCTAAGTCTGCCTGATGTTATTATTCTCGCCATTCATATCAGACACCACAAAAAGCAAATGCAGCACCATCATTTGTACCAGGAGTGGTTGTAAATGCCCTGCATCCAAACAGAGACTTAGGAAGCTTGTGGAACGACACGTAGGTGCCCACAAAAACCAATGAAAACCAGCTAAGGTCCTGGAAGTCGATAATGTTCACACGGAAGAAAAGGTAATCTGTCAGTAAACAAATACTTACGTATTAAAAACACTATAATTATTCTACTCTATTATTTTATAGCAAAATCCTATTAATGTAGCTGCCTTTAGCTCACAGGTGTTTTTCCTTTCCCTAAACTCCCCAACACACACTCATTTCCCATCCTAGTATAATTGGGAGAAGTTCCTAACTTGAGGAAAACTAGGAGCACTTGACTCATCCACCTACACCTACCACTGGCTACACCCAATGCCTTGTTACCAGCGTGACTGGACACACTATTCACATCAGGTGGATGCTGAGGTGGGCTAAAGTGTTTCCCCCACTGCATCCAAGAGTGTGCACCAAGGCACACTCTGTCCCAGCGTGGAAAGGCGGAAACAGGCCACAGAGGACTGAACCAGGAACTGGACTGAAAGACAGGGTCAGACCAGCCTGGAGAGAAACGTTCAGACTCAAGTTTATGGGGCATCACCACTCTTCATGGCTATACTAGGGGGCATTCTCTCCCCCCGCCCAGGGACACACAGGGACCCAATATTCTTACAGAGGCTGGGCTCTACCCAACTGTTCCTTGAGAGCCAGAGCCTTCCTTGCTCAGGTGTTAAGGCAGCTGTGCCTACCCATCTGAAAGCCCAGGGGGCCTGAGCAAGGAGCCTCACTGCTCCAGGCTAGGGAGAGAGACCATAAAGGGTCACGGTATCATGAAGGACAATGGGGTCTGTGAAAAGCACTCTGGTCCAACTCCCTCCCATAGTTTAGCTCTGAACAGAAGTAGGGGATAATCCTGGGTATGTTACTTGGCTCTCTCCGAAGCTTAGTTTCTATCCACCAGATACTAGGAAGGTTCTGACCTCCCCAGCCTCCTTCAAAAGAATGAGAGGGCCAGGCTCGGTGGCTCATGCCTATAATCCCAGCACTACGGGAGGCTGAGGCAGGAGGATTACCTGAGGTCAGGAGTTCAAGACCAGCCTGACCAACACAGCAAAATGCTATCTCTACTAAAAATGCAAAATTAGCCAGGTATGGTGGTGCATGCCTATAATCCCAGCTACTCAGGAGGCTGAGGCAGGAAAATCTCTTGAACCCTAGAGGCAGAGGTTGTGGTGAGCCAAGATCACGCCATTGCACTCCAGCCTGGGCAACAAGAGCAAAACTCTCATCTCAAAAAAAAAAAAAAAAAAAAAAAAAAAAAGGCAAAAAAAAGGATGAGAAGATCAGCTTGCAGAGGTGATACGTTAAAGCTTTGAAAGGGACAGCACAGTGAGAAGAGCAGCAGAGTCTAGGGAAACAAGCCCTTTTCTTTTGTCCTGGCTCAGACACTTGTGTTCCCTACGAGTCTCAGTTGTTTTGCTTGCAGGATGGGGATATCTCCACTACCTCTTCAAATTCTAACAGCCTCCACTTTCAGATGTATGGCTGGCAGTGTCCAGCAGCCTTCGCCTTAGTGACCAGAGTCCAATTTATTTTGCCCAACAGCATGGTCAGCTCCAAGTGGTAGAACAGGATTGGTGTGAGCCTTTCCCAACAATCCTGTTTTCCACTTTTCCTACCTTCCTTTTAACCTCGCAAGAACTTTTGCTTTGCCAATAAAAAGGACCAGACCTGCTTAGTTGGCTCTGCATTCTGCCTTCAGTCTTTCGGACTCTTTCTGGATGGGGATGTGATATCTGAAGCTGCAACAGCCATTTTGTGCACAAAGAGTCAGATATAATGGAAGGCCAAGAGAATCCTGGCAATATCAGTGCCGAAAGCTGACTCCAGACAGCCTGTTACATGAGGAAAATGACCCCATCTCATTTAAACCACTGCTAGTTAGGCTTTCTCTTGCTGACAACTGAACACATTTGTAAGTCACACACTCCACTAAGACCTATTTCCAGAGAAGAGGCAATATTCAAGTATGGCATATGTGTCCTCTGTCCCGATACATTTCCCAAGGGTGAAAGGTGAAATAAATAGGAACAACAATTCCTATTCTAACACATCTAAATGGCAGATATTCAACAAATATGCATTGAAGAAAAAGAGAACAATTTTCAAGTCAGACCTATATTTGAACCTCTATCATATATTAGCTGTGGGACCTCAAGCAAGTGATTTTATCACTCAAGCCTCAGTGCTCTTATCATTAGAATGCAGATTATATTAGTACCTATTGTACTTGTGGTAAACATTAATAAGACAATGCATGCCAAGCCATTAGTATAATTCCTGGCATAGAACAATGCTCCATAATTGGTAACTCTCATTACTGGGGGTCACTTGTGTGGCACCAGAGGCTATGGGCATAAGGATGATGGTGTTAGGGGTTTAGATGGGAGAACCTACAAGTAAATCAGTAATTTATGGAGGCAGGTCGAAGCTATAATATACATCTACATGCTCAAGGGTGAAAAGAAACCCAAAGCCCCACATCTAAGGGCCCGTACCTTGTAAACGCCGCAGACACCTCAGCTCTCCCCGCATCTTATCAAAGTTACCAACCATTTAATTTAAAACTTCAACTCTAGCTTACACACAAAATTACAGGACAACAAAATGGTCAAAGGACAGCCAGACACAAAGACAAGAATCCTACCACAGATCTTCAGATTGGTTACGGCAGTTGCACACGCCTGAGCTAGCCTCCCTTCTCTGGGTCCTATGGGTGGTGATAATTCCTTTAGGGAGGGTGCATCAGTTAGGGTGTGTTCAGCTGCAAGTAACAGAAAGTCCAATTCCCTGAGTGGCCTAAACAAGGAGGCAGATTGGCTCCAGGTTTAGGTGATTCAGTGGTCCCTTAACACAGCCAGGAGGACTTTTTATCTTTCTCTGGATCCACCATGTGTCAGCTTGAGTCCCTGGCTGGCTCTTCTCACAGCTGCAAACAGCTATAGTGGCTCCAATCATCATTTGAATGTGAAACGTTTCAGAGGAAAAAAGGACTTCACTTTCACAAGACTGAGAGGGTACCCCTCTCACATTCTGATGCAGGGCAAGCTCGTGGCCAGCCTCTTTGGAAGCACAGGGCTGATAATGAAGGCAGATCCTATACCTGGTATGGGGGTTGGGAGCAGTTGGATGCTGTGTAGGCAAGTAATAGTTTCTCCATTGGAAAAGGATGAAAGGCCTAGAGAATTTAAAATGCCAATAGTTAACCCCTAAACTAAGAAATAAGAAAGCCCCTGAATATTTTCTGGTTAAAAATAAAACCAAAGCATTATCTTCAGGGAGGTATGGTGCTGCAGTACAAATGGAAATGTGATGTCCTCTGTCCCACCCATAGCTCCATCAACAACCACCCTCATCCATGGACTGCCATGAGAGGCCAGCTCAAAGAAATTTGAGTCTATGAGTAAAAATGGAAATTGAACACACTGATAGAGCAGCATTAGATCCCAGTTCCCTTTTTTCAGACACTGGAATTTATTTTAAAGAACACTTAAGACTGCCATAGTCAAGTTTTCCAGATCTTGCCTGCTCAGGCAGATTTGCTTATAATTCCCAATGACCAATTAGGTCCCTTTATAGTCACAGGACTAGGAAATAATGCTACTTAAATCCAGAGTCTTATCTGCACTTTCTTCCCGGTACCCTTGTTTTCCTATCTAAAATCACACTTTGAAACCCAGCACAGGAGGGTGAAATCCTTAATCATGCCACAGACTGCCAGAAAACTGTGAGCCTGTTTACTAGAGAGACATTTCATTCACGATTTGTTGTACATTCTGCAAACTGCCGTCTTACTTTGTATCTTATGTAATCTTCATAAGAACCCAGCAAGGACTACATCGTTTAGGGAGGTGGGGGCTATTCATTCCATAGCTATGAGGATGGTAGAAGTATAATAAAAGTAGTTATTTTTCATTAAAAGTATATCATATTAACATAGAATGGGTTTGATAATATTTTTAATGAATAATTTAAACATTTTGTTTTAGTTTCTAATATGGTAAATCGATATAATCCAAATTTTAAATAGAAGCTCTGTGGGATAAATAATTTTTAAAAATGTGCAGGGTCTTGAGACCAAAGAGTTTGAGAAGTGCTGCCTCAGTCCACATCAGTAACGCACTGAGGGTTCTGAGTGCGAGCCCCGTGGGTGGGAGCTGCCTTCCTGCCCCAGTGCAGGGGAGACACAAAGGAGCAAGGCCCTCCTCTGGACAGACCCAGAGTGGACATATGCTGAGCACTCACAGGGGAGGTGGAGGCCACCTCTGTGACCTGCAATGGGATCTCGCCAGACTTACCATGCTGGGGAAACAGAAGCACCTCCCCACCTTCCTGTTTCCATCTCCGTTTATAGAAACTGACAGGCAAAATGACCAGCTTGAGGTTCCAACAGGCATACGAGGGAGAACCAGGACTTGGCTTGTGTATTATGATGACCTCTTTGCTTTCTCTTCAGCAAGTGAAGAGCTCTTTGAGAGGAGGGAGTGCGTCCTGTTCCTCACTGGGTTTCCAGCATGCACCACGCTGCGTGTTTGGCTCTGACTCCAAACCCGGGCCACCTGCTCCCCATTGCCAACTGCCTGATCCACGTGAGCTCAGGCCCCACCCTGTCTTTCCACTCAGCATCACACTCTCCAGACCCCTCCGATAGAGATGTCAGCATGCAGAACTGAGCTCAGTGAGGCCATTATCTCAAGCAAACATTCATAAGAACATCCTCTGCACTGGATGCCTGGGCATGCACACCTTTAATAACGATTTTTTTTCTTAAATCCTCCTGTTGACTGTAAATTACATCTCTGTTTATTACCTCTGAAATGCATGAATGCTACCCTACCCATTTTCAGCAAAGGTGGTGTTGCTGGCCTTGTCTTCCATACCCAGCTTTATTTCAGAGTTGGGGGTAAATCCAGCAGCCCTCCCAGCTAATCAGTCCTCTGTTCAGCCCTCTCCTCCTGCCCTTCCCAGTCTGGGATCCCTTCTCCCCCCACCCCCAAGCACAGCTGGACCCAGTTTCCTGGCTTCTGTCCCACCAACAGCCTGTATGCATATAATACCCCTTTTGTTTTTGAAGGTTTTTCTCCCAGCTGGTCAATACAGAAAAACAAAATAGGATTTATCAAATAAAGCACACCATGGGGCAGTTACAGTTTCAGGAAAAACAACAACAACAACAACATTATTTTAAATAGAACAATTCTCTCTGGACTTCATTAAATTGAAAATTAGTGTAGGTCTGCTCTCAAATATTCTAGAAGCATTCCTTTAGGCCTAAAAATGAGCCCTATCCTAAATCTTCTCTCAGTAATTCTTCAGTTTTGCTCACCTTAACCCCTATTAAAAAACCATATTAATTGTTACCCGGCCTTTCCCTTGTTCAAGTCAGCAGCAGGTGGAGAGGTAAGAGTTAGTTATTTAATTACATAATTACTGAGGTTTCCCCAGTGGGTATTCACATCAATTCCAGACTAGAATCTCCTTTATCTTAAAGTTTCCTCCTGCCTTACAGAGAGGTAAAGTCAATTTAGGTCATTTCCTGGCAAAGCTGGGGATATACACTAATCTTAATAGCTCTAATAATTCATGACACTCCCCTCAGTCTGAATATAGAACAACCCTCTTTTAAAAGTACTAGCTGCTTGGAAATTCCATGTAAAACTGTTTCGATACAAAGTGGTCTAATCTATAATCCTTTATTGATAAGCTGCACTTGTGAGTGGGCAATGGCGAAATATAGCAGATTTTCTAGGTTTTTTTCAACAACGGTGCTTCATCAAGTCATTTACTACATGAAATTTAGTTGTATGTATCTCAGCTCTTCCCATAAATTACAAATAATAAAAAAAAAACCTTCTGTATTAAGTCAAATAATCGGAGAGCTAATACCCCGTAGTGAATTAAGAAGGTGATTGTAGGATCCAGCAGCCCTGGCTCTGCCTTGGACTGGCTCAAGGAGCGAGGCCAGCTGCAATAGCCTCTCCAACCTCCGTGTGCCACTGTCTCACACAAGAGTGCTGTCAAGATTGAGTGAGGCCAGCATATGTATAGTAAAAGTCCCTGACACTTGGTAAAGTTTTGAAAATGTTAACTTGTGTTCTCATGTGTCCCAAATTTAGATGGGAAATGTGAATTATAAGGCTATTAAATACATTAAGAAGCATCATATTAATGGAGTATGGACTATAGAATAGGTAAAGGGAGATCTCCTGTATCACATGTATCAGACTTAACTTGAGAGATACATCAGGGAAGTATGTAATTACATAATCCTACTAATTTACATACAATTCGACTATACATAATTATGCAGCAAAATTAATATACAAAAATATAAAATAATAATAATAAACAAAGGTTTCCGAGAAAACAAAATATGATTCTAGTCTGCACCCAGCCTTCTCCCAGAAGTCCTAGAGGGTGAAAAAGAAAGATGTAAATACCTCTATGGAGCTACTGACATCACTAAATTGACAAGTTCAGGCCCCTCTCCATCTCTTGGAATCCATTTGTATAACTCATCAATATAAACAATTTCACAGAGGCATAGTTTGAAACAAAAGCAGGAAATTTGGGACTACCTTGCTTTAAAGGCACAGTTTTATGATGAAAACAATTTATAGAATAATCCACACGTAAAAATCCAATCTTCATTCCATTCAAAAGGGATGAAAAGGCTGGATGCCATGGCTCACACCCGTAATCCCAGCACTTTGGGAGGCTGAAGTTGGAGGATCATTTGAGTTCAAGACCAACCTGGCCAACATGGCAAAACCCTGTCTCTACTAAAAATACAAAAATTAGCTGGGTGTGGTGGTGGATACCTGTAATCCTAGCTACTCTGGAGGCCGAGGCAGGAGAATTGCTTGAACCCAGGAACAGAGGTTGCAGTGAGCCCAGATTGTGCCACTGTACTCCCACCTGGGCAACAGAGTGATTAAGACTTTGTCTCAAAACAGAACAAAAGAAAACAAAAGGAATGAAGAGGCCTAAGAAACAAAAATTCATGATTGGATTTGTTAGGCGTATTGTTCAAGTAAAGAGACCACCAGGCAGGCTTTGTGTGAGCAACATGGCTGTTTATTCACCTGGGTGCGGGTGGGCTGAGTCCGAAAAGAGAGTCAGTGGAGGGCGGTGAGACAGTAGTTGGTTTTATAGGTTGGGGCAAGTAGTCAGCTAAAGGTGGTAATCTATTTTAGGGAGAGGAAGGGTGTCACAGGATGCATGGTCACAAGGGTAGGGGTCAGTAATCTATCTTGGGGAGGGAAGGGCATCACAGGATGCGGTCACAAGGTAGGGGCCATCTATTACAAACAGGCATGATCATAAAGGTGGGGGGGTATCAGTTGCAAGCAGAGGGGAGGGTGAGGTAAATTACATAGTTACAGAGGTGGGGGTCCTGAGAAATCCAATGTCCAGGGAGGAAATTTCACAAGGCTGAGCAGGAACAATGATTGCAGGTTGCAGGAGGAGTGCAATTAGTTGAGGCAGCAACAAGTTTTTTCACTTCTTTCTGTGGCCACCTGGTTACTTGTGGTTTCTTAAGACTTTCTGGCTCCTGGAGACCATTCAGAGGTGTACATGTGGGTCAGCAAGGCTATAATGGCCAGGCTTGGACTTGCAGGCCTGATGGGATTGTTATTTTTTTTTCAGTGGATCTTTTTATGTTTAAAGCTAAGTGTTAGCAAGTCATCAACTAATGGTCATAAAAGATGAGGGGCCATGGCTTGTTTCTAAACATTATTATATTTTGTGTACATCCTAAAATATCACTCAAGCCAATACCCCTACATACTAACTTGGGTGATTTATGCACTTATTTTTTAAGTGGTGACTTCTTTAAGTGATGACTGCATCTCTTAAAAAGTGCTTTTAGGTCAGGGCTATTAACAAGGAGAGGCTTTGTAATGGAGAGCTAATTGCAGGTCTTCCTTATCAACCGGAATAGAACACAGAAACCATTAGGACTGGGTTACAATGGGCAGACAGCCCACAGAAGCAGCTGTTTGCAAGTTTGGAAATAGAATGGAATTATCACTTAGACTATGTTAAAAGGAAACAAGAATATTCTTTGTCTTCCACTGCAGCACGGAAAAGAAAAAGAGAAACTAGATCTTCAGAGCACCTTGATTTCTAACATGGATATCGGCAACCTCCACTGCTAAACGCTAGTCCATGTGTCACTATCTCCTTGCAAATAGATTTTTGTGGTCACCTGTTTATGGCAAGCCTGATCTCGGAAAGCCACAACAGTTCAGGTCTCCTCCAGAACAAGCCCTTGCTCATTTACAAGGTTCCCACAGAGCCCAGCAAGACTGACAATGTATTCTCCATATTGCCTTTCACAGCTTGCTGAGAAAAAGAATTCACTAAATCTGAAAATGAGCCAGGCTTGGACTAACCAAAGTATCTTAAAGTTCCCATTCCTTTTTTTTTTTTAACGGTGCAGAACCAGCAAAACTCAACAGAGTTTGACTCAACAGAACCAAAACTCATTTACATTTGTGTGATTCTGCAAAGAGAAGTCAGCTATAGTAGGGAGGAAGGGGAGACTCAAGATGAGTTTACATCCAAGAGAAGCAGGGATGTTTGTAATCTACCTAGAATAACGTGAAGCCCCTGTCCAGCATGCTCACATCCTCCATTCATTAGCACAAGCCAAAAACATGAACTGGAAATTCTACACCAGCATCCTCTGCTTGGTCCTGACACTAGGAGGCAGTCCAACACCTCTCCATGACACAAGAAAGGCAGGAAAAATACTGATGAGATTCAAACTGTGTGCCAAAAACAGCTATTGGGGTATTTGCCATCCTCATCATTTTAAATCATACAAAGTTCTTCCCAGTTGATGCAGACATATTTCTTTCTTCAGTTAAAGCCAAAAAACTGCTAGGCATGGTGGCTCACACTTGTAACTCCAGCACTTTGGGAAGCTAAGGTGGGAGGATCACCTAAAGCCAGGAATTTGAGATCAGCATGGGCAACATAGCAAAACTCCATCTCTACAAAAAATGTTTTAAAAATTAGCTGGGCATGGTGCCATACACCTTTGGTCCTAGCTAGCTACTTGGGAGGCTGAGGCAGGAGGATTGCTTGAATCCAGGAGTTCCAGGTTGCAGTGAGTTATGACTGTGCTCCTACACTCCAGCCTGAGCAACAGAGTGCAACTCTATCTCTAAAAAACAAAAACAAAACCACAACAAAAAACCGTCTCATATCTTGCAGAAGTCACTCAGGGTTCATAGGACAAAACTAAAGCACTAAAATAGATCAATGCAGCATAAAAGCAATTAAAATAAAACTATATGAGGAATGGAAAGCTGTTATGTATGGTTCTTTCTAAGTATAAACACTGATGAATGTGGTCATGCCCTGCATGAAAAATCAGTAAGTCCCCAAGTCAAGACAAGGAAGAATATGTCATTATCTGAACTGAAATGAAGTGTCTGGCCCAGGCAAGCAAAATGAAGCAGAGGGCCAGGCAGAGGGTCAGCCAGGGAGGAGAGAGAGTAGTCATACAATGACAAATGAGGGAAAAAAAGCTATTAGAGTCTTTCTGGAGAGTATAACTGGCAAGATAAAGCAATTACGCTGAAGTTGGTTCTAAAAAATCATGAAGCAGGTAAGCAAAATGGCTGGGTTATGGCTAGGATAATCACTGGGATCATTCATAAAGGGGCACCTCATAATGCCAACAAGAGGTTTGCTGCCAATGGCTGCCTTTGAC